GCTAGACTGTCAGTCTGTTCGAGGTGTCAGCATGCCGTTTTGTTCACCTCAAATATTTTGTGATGATTTTACAACAAACCGCTTCTTACACGTGATGGCTGAATATGAAATGTTTAATTGTTGAGAGTTGGGAAATGTACGCGTGTGATTAAAGAAAATATTTTATTAAATTCTTATAAATGTTGCAGATTCAAGCAGAAGAATTACAATATGAGAACTTTTTAAATTGGAAATAAAATGAATTGTTAAAATATAAGTACAATCGAACGCGACGAGATGATAAAGGCAATCAGATTACATTCCAGTACGATTACATTTGCACTTTAAAGAAGCGCAACAATAAGGGTAGTGATACTTTATAGATTGAACAAGAATCGACGCAGAGATACATCACAATCAGAGAGTCATTGTTCAAAGTGTGAATAATACAAGCGCATGAGAGCAAAGCATTTCCGTCCGACAAAATACGAGCTGATCGCAGAAGACGGATGGTAAAGATGTCGACTCGGTATTCCAGTGTTCCCGAAAATCACTGGATCGATCAATCACTAATCAGTCACTAATCACTAATAATTCGACGATCAGTCGAAAGCGATCCGAATCAGTAACGACGCTGATTCATCAATTGTGTGTCCATATCCCGTATTGAGGCGCAAATGAGAATATCCTAAACGTTGATTCAAATGAAAAAATAACTTTTGGTATTATTCTTTGCATAACCTATTACGGACTCAGCAATTCGTACTGATTACAAAACATTCATAACAATTCAAACGATAATGATTGAGGTAATAATGAGAATAACAATGATAAGATAGAATGCTCATGACAACACCTTTGATCGTGAGCAAAACGTAACCCAGACAATAATAGAAAGTGATGTTGATCAAACATTTCCATCAATAAAGCACAAACCTGAACGAACGCTCTCAACAGGAATTGTATATTCACCAACGAAGTCATTCGCAGATGTCGAATCAAAATCCTTCACACAAAGTCGAAGTAATGCCACCTCTGGACAGTGCAAGTTCAATTGAAACGTTTCATTCCAAACTGGATTGAATCTAAAACGAAATCAATTCAAATTCAACTGATCTTTAAGAACACGGATATGATATTCGCTGAGTGTTTTATTACCCGTTATCAGCAATCGTTTTTGTTCGGTATTTTTGTGCATCTGCCGGTATTCCGAATATTTCAACTGTTACGTACGGATCGATAACGTCATTTCCAGGCGTTGGTTTCGGTAAATATTGGCCACTGATTATCTTGAAATGATGTATTTCTTATTTACTGAACATATCCAGGTGAACAAAAAGAAAACGTGAATTCAAAACAAATACGACTCAGTATGATCCACAAAGTAGATGAAATAATTCAATTGTCGGAAAATCACTCACTCCAATTGACAGTATTTTCCGCACTTTTCCAGAAACCTCAGATAGGCGGGGATCTGAAAATACAATCTTACCTGATTATGGTTAAGACTGACGACAGGGCTGACCGATAACTTCGAATGACTGAAGGTCTGACTTCGAAAAAGAATAATGTCTCAATCTTTTGATTTGTACTGAGAGTCAATGGGCTCTTTAAAATTTTCATACACTGATGCCAACTCCAGGTTCAGGGATGCAGTGTGATGATCCTTTTGGCTGCTCAATATGAAAGAGAATCGAATGTAAAATATTACTTGTCCACTGGTGTTCGGCATGAAGATACGCACAAAATAGGCCACAACAAATACAAAATGAACAAACCTAAACCGTTCAGNAAACAATCCGGTTTCAGTACATAGCCACAATTGCCATTCACACGGAACAGACCATGCACCATGTCGAGATATTCGGAGGAAGTCTGCATGTTCATCGCAACCGACTGAATGCCACAAATCCATGATGGCATTGGATCCATGTTACTCGAGTCTTGCCTCAGTCCCTTCGGATACGATTTCACGAATCTGCTTGCTGTATAAACCGCCAATGATGTTCCTCCTTCCATCATTGCCTCTACCTTCGTTTCAGATAGCGATGCTGATCCATCCATTGGGTCTGCAAACATTACTGTTACTCAGATGGAATAGTCTTGTCTTTCCTACTGAATGCCAGATTTTGTTTATTTTGTGAACTGGTTGACCAGCAGTGTGTGCTTGCAACACGAAAACGTTGTTCATTCCATTATAACAAAATACATGAAAATACAACAAAGTATGACATGGATGTGTGCAAATACATTTGAAATTTATCCGTGATAAAATCGAAATTAAACAGTGGACAAACTGACGTTCTTTGACATCCTGATAGATATTCGATGAAATTTTGACGGATGGCAGCGAGATGAGACGTGAAAATTCAGGATCCAGTTGTATTTGATGATGTTTCTCCTTTTGTTCAATTGGTTCATCATCATCTTGATCTAACTGTGTATCACGACCAGTCTCTGACGGCAGCTTCTTTCCTCTCAGCAAGTATTTGTGTTTCAAGGCATTCGGTGAAGGTAGCGGCGTGACAGCCGCATTTTCTGGTCGTTGATAGATTTTATTACCGAGAACCTGCAAAGACATGTCTAGCAAATTAGCCTCAATGAATAATATGTAAAGAATGAAGCGTATAGAATGACCAAGGAACGCCAAACTGGCGCGATAACGTGTGGAAAAAGACAGACAAGTAAATCTCGAACCTCATTAAAGATTCGAGTCATCGCTTTTTGTTGCGGTAAGCCAACATGATTCTCAATCGTCAATATGACCGGATATGGATTTGTGACGAAAGCGTACTTATCAATTGCTTGCAGTGCATTTTTGAGCGTGATTGACGTTATCAGAGTTCGTTTATGTGTTATGCACGGTTCACCATGATCGCCGTCAAAGATGTCCACTACAAATAACAAATTCGCCAGCATAAAACCCATTTCCGTTCAACAATCAAGATCGCTTCTATTGCAAAGCAATGGAATCATATCAAAAGCTGGATCTCTACATCCTCATACAGATACTAAAACGATATTGTTCAAACTCGTCAACAAATTTTGACATCACAACTGATGCATTTAAAAGTAACCAAGCGATTTTTAATTTATAAAATGAAACCGAAGAAATACATCAGAACCGGAATGTGAACATTTCAATTCATAGCATATGACTGCATTGTGACTTCTTCCAAATCATTATAAAATCTTTTTTTTACAATCTAAGATACGCGATAATATAAAAAGACAACATCCAATAAATATTTGTGAGCAAACAATAATTAGAAAACGCACATTCGAGAAGTCGAGCGCCTTTCTTCAACGCACTTATGTAACCCTCAACAGTGGCTTCACCCTTCATTTGCAATCCTGTCAGATAGGTGTTATGACTTGAGTTGACAAAATAATGACTCAGCGGATGATTCATATCTTGAAATACAGATTCATGACCGGCTTTCATTATGTGACCCCATCGCGACTGCAAAAGACGTCTGAATCCTGAAATTGAACAAACGATCTCAGATGAATAAATCGCATGTTCGGGTGGTTACTCAGTTGGATTCGTCACTTATTTTCAAATTCATTTCATCTGAACAACTGATTTCGATTCAGCTGTTGAAAATGTCATTGATAATGCATACTGCAACTGACAAAACTATTCAATGACAAGTAAGAAACTAAAAATGAACAGCAACTTTACCAATAGGTCCAAGCAATTTGCCTTTCCGAATGTTATCTGAATTTGTTGGTGTTTCGTATGTTTCAATAATTGATTCACACTTTTTTTCATCAACATCAGGAAACTGAAATGAAATGGGAAAATCTTATCGGAATTTACTTCAAATCTATGATTTCGCATGAAAGATGTTGCTTGTGTACAATGTTTGCGAATAGAGAACTATAATCATAAGCACTGCGGAAAGTCGACTGGCAATATGCATTGATGTCATATGGTGGAATGGAACGTCCACTCCAAATGCAGCACCGCAATCAACGAACATTGAATGAGAAATCAATCCATTTAATCGAAATCGAGAATCAATCAAATGAACAAACCTGCTGTTCGTCAACCAGGAATGAACGCAAATCGTTCACCGTCAAAGCGCAATCATCAATCGAACTGAACAGCCTCAATGCATTATCCAACTCTGGCCGATGAGTTAATCTTTCGAAAAATAGCAAAAATTCATTCTGATCCAGAACCCGATCACCAGTCGATGATTCCGTCTTTTTCGTATCTGCATCCTAAAATTAACGTACTTCGTAGCACTTGACAAGTCGAAAGTCTCTTCGTGAACATTTTATGCAGCACATTTTAACAGGAGCTATTTGGAATGAGTCCGTTTCCAAGCAATCGCTCAAATCGAGATTATCTATAACAGGCGCCAATCATTGCTAAATGAAATCGGTTTATTCGAGGTCAGCATCAACAACTCTCAAAAATGTTGTATGAAGGGGGAACTGCTTCATCTAAAATTTGCGATTCAGCAAAGTTTGGTTCCGCTATCGACGATTCTACCAAAAGCGAATGAATGAATGTTTGAAAACTTTTGTGAAATTCAAGAATTTCATCAATTTCTTTATCAACCTTTATGAATAAGTATAAAACAATTAAGTTGGAAACAAAGATAAGTTCATGCAACATTAAGTGTTAACGAACCAAAAACATGGCCAATGCATATGGTTCACTTATTTGCAAATTGAGTTTCTTTAGCAACTTCCATACTTCGTTGAATGATAGTCTCCCTTGAAGAGTGATGAACTGATTAATGAAAAAGATCCGCTCAAATGAAGTGAATAATTCTGAGTGGATGGACACTTCAAAAAGATAGCGTCAAGGAGTTATGGCATCGGTTAAAAGATGATTAAGTGAAGTTTATCGCTGAGAAGATCGAAGCAGAAAATTTTCGACTCGTAGCAACGCTTCGACCTCAAGCCCAGTCTCATTATCCTTGAATCCAGCATATTTGATTCTGATGCTGAACAAGCCAACAGAGCAACGAGTATCGATGAATATTTAACCGATGACATATCAATGCTATTTGTGCCGTATGTTGATAGTCACATGAACGCTTATGTGGAGAAATGAATGAATTAAGTTGAGCAGCTAGAGAAATGAACCGTTATTATTGACATCCGCCTTCTTGAAGTTCTCCAACAACCAACGTTTCTCATCGAAATGCATTCTCGCTTTATTCTTCTTCTCAACCAGATATTGAAGTGCATTTGTGACGATCTGTTTCGACTGCTGATCGTCAGCCGCAAAATCCAACGATTTGTGCAGATAACGGTGATGCGCAAGAATTATCGATACGCACATATCCTCCTGAAAATTTTCATTCATCAACACGACTGCGCTAAATATATGCCGTACTGTTTCTTAAAACATCAAATGCTCCGGATTACGCTCAAAGTCAAACTTATTATTACCATCAAGGTTACCTAATGGAAATAAAGCAACGTAATAAACTTATAAGGCCTTTTCCGACCTGTTCGGTAAACGCGAGGAAATGCGACATCCACATTCCACGAAAATCGACTTCTTGAGACAATTCAATAAACTCGAAACTACGGAATGCATACGAGCTGATGAAGTCAGTTTAGAAATGGTTTTGTGTGCAGTTGAATTAATCCGTTTTACAATACATTTACTGTATCAGTTCGAGTGATAATTTCAGTAGCAATAACTGAGAAAATGAATGCATAATGAAAATATTCGATTTGGAAAAGGATAATATTGGACTGAATGAAGACGTACAGAAGTGTGTTCACGGAAGTCGTATTTGGTTGCGGCACGATTTAAATTGTCCGAACTGAAGCCACTTCGAACCTCCAACACATCATCAACATCAACTAAAATCATGAAAATGCGCTTTTTTAGACTGATCACAAGTCAAAATAACAATCAATCTGTTTATCAAATCACTTGAAAAAGCAAATACCCGTGCAGATTACATGTAAGCAGATTACGGGTAAGCACGCAATCCTACAGATCACAGATTTTATATTGTGCACTTCAGTATATTTAATCCAGGGAATTCTGCTCGCAATTACTGCCACAGCAATGAAGTTAATTTCAATAAAATTTTTAAACGGGATGATGATATAGCTTCTGCAAAATATGCACAAGCGTGAACTTTTTTCCAAAAATGAACAGTTCGGGAATGGGAAAGNTCAAAATCATCGATTAAAAGTAAACACAAACCGCATTTGATTCGGAGCGGTACATACTTCCACAGCCAGCACGTATGATAACATAACCACTTTCCGTCTCGAAGGAAAACCTTTCTGGGTGCCAACAACTTTGCTCGTTTCACTCGCCGCAAATTAACACCATTCGCCAACAAAGCCACACACTTACTCGAATCATCCGTTCCCGTTTCTTGACCGGATCCAACAGTTGCCTCGGTTTTTCCGACTTCAATTTTCAGCACTGATCTCGCGTTAGGGCTTCCATCAATCCAGTTATTATCCTCTGATGATGGTGTTAATTTGACGTCTTCGCCAGCCTCGATCATACGGCTCGTCTCCATCCGGACAAAAAGCCACAGCCAAACAGCTAAGAAGCTAAAACAGGTTTATAAAACACAAATTCTCATCATTCAAAACAACAACAACAAAACATTCAATCCAATTCACTATGTCGTCAAATGTTTTGATGTGTTTTTCGGTGCTCACTCATTCACCCACTTCCCTTCAAAACATTTCGTTGTACGCTTTTTCCTCATCTGCATCGATCTCTGTTACGATTCTTTTGATGTCTGCAAATGCCTACAATATGTGCATGTTTCTTTGAACATCAAACGAAAACGCTATTCGACATCGCTCGCTCGCTCGCATTCATCTCTCATACTCCCCTATTGATTCTTTTACACGCTACATTACATCAATCTCTTGATGTCTTCTTCACAAACTCCACCGAAATATTCTCTTCGATTGCTAATGTCACTCACAATCAGATAAAGTCAATCATGACGGCAGAAATTACCTGAGCACAATTTTTTGCGAAACCTGATGAGAAAGTTCCAAATACAAGCGATTGGGAGCAGCAGCTGATTAAATTTCCATTCTGATCCATAACGTTATCAAAACACACAATCAAATTAATGAAAACCAGTTTTTGAAGATCCATCGAGAGTGTTTCATCACTATTCTCGACGATAACTTTGCTTTGTTGCTCACTGAGAACCAGTCATTTCAGAATGCAGAGAAAATCTTTGGATTTCAGGTTCAACCGTCGCTTTGATTATAGATGAGTAACAATAACTGGTGGTCATAGGTAAATGCAGTCAAGATGAGGCGCATTACCAATGCAAATACTGATAAGATATCATTTCACAACAGAGAATAGAAAAGTTGTGAATTGCCCTCAGATGATTGATGGAGAGCGTTCACATCTTGGATCTTCATCTCTCAAGTGCCAAAAAAAAGTGAACCTAGCTGAAAAAGTGATCAGTTCTGATTGCTCGATGCCATCCCCAATGTCTCACGAAAAGGTACGGGAAACAGATGTTGTCTATGAGTCACTTCAAGCACTATTCGACACATGCATCCAAAAACTTTGAAGTTCACTTCGAATACCTCACATACAGATCATTTTATTGATAAGACTACATTTTGACCTGCGTGTGTTCCTCAGCGTGATAGACTGATGGAAGTTTTGTGTGTAATAAAAAACGACATTGATTGTTTCGATGAATTATATATATGTTTGTGGTTTTGTGAATTGTGCTGCTGGCGAGAAAGTTTAATAATGTTTATGAAACATATCGTTTGAAATTATCAGATGGGTTGACGGTATGATAAGAAACAATGGAAGTGATTGGACAAATATAAGAGCGACAGAATGTGATGTAACAGTAAGAGATAACAGAATAATGATAAAAGATAGCCTCAAGCATTGCCTTTGATTCGAGGACAGCTGTTTTGAAAGCAGAAGAAAGAAGGCGGTCAATCGTAGCTGAGGAATTGAAATGAGGCGATGATATTAGAAATAGATAAACAAAAGAAACTTTTGTTGAAATATTGCACAAAGTTGAGATGATTCGCTTCAAGAAGGATGCAGTGAGTATTATCGCAAGTGTTCGTGATCATAATAATGATAGTATAATATTAACAAATAAACGAGATGAGTGAATTGTTGAGCAGGAGCAGAACATAGAAAGTAAATTGAATGTAGTTGTTGTTTTGTGCTGAAAAGTTTGACGGATGAATTGAAGCTAGGTACGGATAATGGAATAGTATTACATTGGTTTGCGTTAAGATGAATTGAATTTGAGACGTACACGAAGGATTATCGTTGGACTGACGAGGATAGAGAACGAAGTTTGAGGTTTGAGTGGTTCGAGTTGAGTTCAAGTTGAACACGAAGTTCAAGTTATTTGAGTAATATCATAATGGTATCTGGTGGATATCGCATTGGTATGCACATTGTTACATCCGCATTGAGACTTCTCGAACCGAGGGTCGATGATGACTTCGTTGATCGTCTTCACTACCTCTACACATCCACCATCATCTTCCTATTCGCCATTCTTGTATCGGCAAAACAATATGGTACTTCTTTTCGATATTTCTGTCGTCGTTCTTTCTTATTATTAATATTCACATCCTTACTGCTTATCACTTCACTTATCATAATGTCGTTTTATTATCATTCAACAGCATCTCATCCAACTTTCACTAACCTAGAGTTCCAATTCATGAAATTAATTGTTCTATCCATGATAGCTCTAATGATCATCAGTTTTTGATCCATTTGAATGACAATACAAATGATCATAAGCAAATACTAAACGCCATCTTGAATTAGTTGCCATTTTTAAAAGTATCACCAATTCGAAATCATTATCGTGCAATACAGATTCAATCCGTTCATCGTATATGTGTGAAATTCAGTTTTTGAATCTTACAGTGCAAATTTCTTATAGAATCTCATCAACTGATTTATTTCATGCGTTTATTTACTTATTCAAAGACAACTGAAAGAAGTAATAAGCATTCGCAGTTTCTGATTACCAATCTAGATAACAGCGATCTGAATATTGCCTTGATGTTGATTGCCTTGATTCTGCCAGCTATAAGACTAGCTAGCGATTTTGTTGATTGAGATTAAGATACTCAAGAAGAAATGTTATTGAAGAAATGGAATCAGTGAGATGTGAAGATGAAGGTAAAATGAGATGAATAGTCATCAGTAGAATAGCGAACAAAGAAGTCACCAAAATGATTAGAGTAAACTCAACAGCATTGTATGTGTTCCACTGACTATTGTTTGATATCGAATGATAGCGATAATGATTTATGTTTTTTCTTCTGTGCTGACTCTTATAAATTCTACGATTGCATGTTCTCAGTACGGAACAGCATTTGCAATTGATAGATGATGTTGTGGTGCTTATTTTTAACGAATTTTATTATTCTATGCAGTGTTCAAAACGAAGTAAATAAATTTCAAGCAGATGCATCTGAAAGATAAAAGAATTTTTGATAGAAGAAGTATTTATCTGGTATAAGTATTTTATTCGATCCTGTCTACTTCATTCATTCCACGACTTCCGATCGTGTTTCGAAAGTACAATTGCTGTTGCTCTAAGCAAGCTTATACTTGCTTGTTTTAATATCGAAAACGTATCACATAACTCACTGATTGCGAGACACTGCACGATATTACACCCGAATGCAACTTCCCTAGTCATTCCACTCCAATTGATGTTTCAATCCGAAAAGATATCGTCGAAAGCTGAACATGATAGTGTTGTTTATGGATGAGAATAGCTGTGATCGTATGAAAAATGAAAATAAGAACAATAGAGCCATAAAAGACTTGAAGTGTTAATGATTTGTAAGTAATCAGAAGAAATGCTCTCTATCTCTCACTCTGTTCGGAGATCATCCGTAAAAGCGATAAACAAATTATCTAACAGGTCATCCAATAGAATGCTTCGTACCAGCACAGTTCACACGAGCAATGGAACAGTACACGGAGAATTATTGTTGGGTGCAAAATACCTATTGGGTACCGTTCCAGGTAAGTTGATTGCTTTTAACGAGATCAAGTATATACATACGAGATCAAGCATTTGTCGATATTGCATGCCTGTTGTCTGTAATTCGAAGGTGTTTTCGAGGATCACCGCATNGGTCTGTGCCGATAATTAGTTTGTTAATGAATCAAATAAACGAATGCATTTTGATTTATGACAATTGAGCAAATAGAATAAGTGATGATTTATTGTTATAATTATCATTGTTATGATAAGATGGATGACGATTAAGGATCTGATACCGCACAGACTTGATGATAGAGAAAGGCGTCAAATCGGCTATTATCAGTGGGTACCGTTTGCGATGGGGATCGCATCACTCATGTTCCATATGCCAGCCACCGTCTGGCGAATGCTTTCCACACAATCAGGTTATCAACTCATGCTATTCTCATCACCACTATCTTGTAATATCCAACACGTAAACCGTCCTAATGCATCTGCCACAATCCATCCAAACAAACTCGACTCTACTCTATGTATTTCGACAAAACCAAAAATCCAATTCCTCATCACATCTGCAATGGTTTATGATAACACCTCTCTGCAGTTCATCAGCCCATGTTGCTTCCCAGTCAAAAACCATCCATATTTCTAACGGTGTGAGAAATAAGAACGTATATTCCATTCAGTATTCAAAATTTGCGAAAATCCATAGGTGAAGGCATATTTCACAGCAAAAGTTTTCGTACATTCGTATATTCATCAAAAAACCGTTTAACTCACATATATAAAAGCGTCAGTTAAGTAGAGAAAAAGGATGGTGATTTACAATTCATAATAGCTCAACAACTCATAATAGATGCTCTTGACGAGTTCAACAGCCGGCATTTTTCAAATCAGTCAAATCTCCTCTTTTTCCTCATCAGCCAAAACTTGACGATTGCTTAGCGGGATAATTGCCTGCTTAATTGTTGCGCTCTCGGTATTCGATTCGCAAAAAAANAAAAAAAGCACTGAAACGAGACTGCCAAAAAAACAGCTGCAATTGAGTGTTGTTCTCTTCTCTTATTAATGGTACCAAAATGAAGCGTTTCAAAATGATGCAGTAACGATAAAGAGGTTCTGTCAACATTTTCACATGAAGCCAATAATTCCAAAAGAAAATGAATAATCATTGTGTTGTGCTCTTCATTCACCCATCTGTAAGCATCGTTCACTGAATAATCGCCTCCAGCACCGAACCCAACTCAACTCATTTCATCTCTCAAGCCAATACCTATCAATATCACTATCGCTTCAATATGTTGTAAAGTTGAGTTGATGACATTTGTGTGTGCATATGTGTATGCCTATTGCAGAGACACAATAACACCTCTCTTTTTGCTCCATTTCAACATTCAACATCTTACTGCAGTAAGATGTTGAAATCAGAAAACAACTACAATATCGACTCGAGTGCAGATTTTAAGTGCAGAAAACGATAGCTTCCAATTAAACGATATTATATTCCTATCATGTTCATCCGTTCAAAAATTCCGGATCTACATTCAATAGCATTCTGCATTCGATTTTGTGAACAAAATTATTGACGCTTTGTTTTTGGTATGTAAAAGATTCGTTGGTTCTGTTCTGGATCAAATTATACCAAATCAATCCTATATAAGCCTCAAATGTGTTACTTGGCAGACAATTTTATAAACAATTAAATCTTATAAAAACTCTCAATAACATTCTCTCACTACAATGCTTCTTCATAATCTTCACACTATTCGCATTCAAATTACTCCAAACGCTCGACTAGCAAATAATCGCTGTTAATGCTTTTTAATCTACACTCTGTCGATTGAACATCTTCGATATTAAAATTTCTCGTACTCAACCGTAATAACCCTGCACTGCTATCAAGCATTGCGATGATCGCAGTGCAATAACAACCAAAATATTTCTATATTAGCCAAAGTATGGAATGAAGGGACATCCGACGAATACAGCAGCCATGTGCTCAAGTTCAGAATAAAATATTCGTGATGTGATTCAATTTCAAAATTCTCAAACCATGATGAGGGATAGCACACCATGCAGCAGCCACAGTATCCAACAAAATGACTACTTGCCCAAAAATGATCAGTGTGAACAGATCATGTCTGCGATCATCGAATACAATATGAAAATAGCTGTCCCCTTTTGAATTCAGATGCAAATTATTCGTATGGAAACGTTTATTTAGTAACAGTTGTCCCATAATGAATTCAAGAAATCATCGGTGTGATATAGCACTTGAACAATTCAAGCAATTGGATGCATCCGAAGATTAATGATCATAATAATGATGATTAATGATAATGATGAGGATGTAACTGATAGTTTTCGATGGCAACGACGATTCGTGTACATCAAAGTTTTATTCATTGTTTGGTGAATGCTAAGGTTAATGCGAAGTTTAAAATAACAATTGTGTTGCTGATAGTTTGGAAGATATTGTTGAAGCTGAACTGTTGGTGTATTAATAACGATGTCAAATCACTTAAATTAATTCATTTTATCACTCACTGTTTAGCCATTGTTCAATCTGAACTTCGTTCAACAGCTAATCAATACTGCTAATCGTAAGAGCATTTGAATGGGGGAATCAATCCACATAAATACCCTATATATCATAAATAATATCATATATCATAAATCTCATAATTTTCACTTGT